TGGGCACGCAAAGGGACTGAATATCACTGTTCTTCCATCTGACTGCTGCTTCCTGCCTGGTTTGGCACTGCTGCAGCTGCTCCTGCTGACCTGGGTGTAACCTTTCTGATGGGAAGGTCTCCCATGGGAAATAGTCTCAGAACTGACTTAATTACATCATTTTATTTCCCCTTCCTTCAGTTGGCTGGACTCAGCCTTCAGAATAACTTTGATCACATGGAAGTGGAGTAACTCATCAATTCAGATTAGGCTTTAGAAACCTAAATTTAGATTGGAACAGAATGCTTCAAACTAGAATGTCATGGGGGTTTTTTTTCTGGATCACAGAATCACAGAATGTCAGGGATTGGAAGGGGCCTCAAAAGATCATCCAGTTCAACCTCCCTCCTGGAGCAGGGACCTAAATGGGATCACACAGGAAGGTGTCCAAGCTAAAGAGCCCCAGCTCCCTCAGCCTTTCCTCAGCAGGGAGATGCTCCACTCCCTGAATCATCTTGGTGGCTCTGTGCTGGACTCTCTCCAGCAGTTCCCTGTCCTTCCTGAACTGTGGGGCCCAGAACTGGACACAATATTCCATCAATTTTAAATGTTTTGAGTTACAAATACACCTAGGCCCAAGGGCAAACTTCTAAACAGATTTTGGGTTTGTTTTTTCTAATCTCATTCCAGATTGGTCGGTCAACAGAGAGTCCTATAGACTTTGTCGTGACAGATACAGTTCCTGGGAGTCAGAGTAATTCAGACACGCAGTCGGTGCAGAGCACTATATCAAGGTTTGCCTGCAGAATCATATGTGAACGTAACCCTCCTTTTACAGCAAGGATATATGCTGCAGGATTTGACTCCTCAAAAAACATCTTCCTTGGGGTAAGGCAACTCTTTTTATTTTTTTTCCTTCGAGTTCATTGCAGGCTTATTTTTAAACTAATTTGTAGCTCCACTTCAGCCCAATTAAAAGTTTTCATGGTTGTATTTTCTCTTAGGAGAAAGCTGCGAAGTGGAAGACATCAGATGGGCAAATGGATGGACTAACCACGAATGGAGTTCTTGTCATGCATCCTCGTAATGGATTTACAGAAGACTCCAAGCCAGGGGTGTGGAGAGAGATATCGGTGTGTGGGAATGTGTTCAGCCTCCGGGAAACCAGATCAGCTCAGCAGAGGGGTAAAATGGTAAGAGGAGTGACCAGTGTCTTCTGTAGCATGTTTAAAATGAGTCCAACCATAGTGGTACAGCTTGGACATAAACAAACACGCGCACCCTCAGCAAGTTTGCTGATGACTCCAAGCTGAGTGGTGGGGTTGACACGCTGGAGGGACGGGATGGCATCCAGAGGGACCTGGACAGGCTGGAGATGTGGGACCATGCAATCCTCATGGAGTTCAAGGCCAAGTGCAAGGTCCTGCACATGGGT